AGCTCAAGCTGGGGTTGGACGATGGGGCCGTTGAGTCCTGCCGCCTCTGCGTGCACCAGTTGGTGGCAACGACAGCTCAGCGCGGGGAGTCTGCGCACGAGGTCATGCTGAACGCCGTCGTCGGCCCGAAGGCGCAATGCAAGACGGCGCTGGAGGAGCTCGACGAGGCCCCAGAGAACATCCGCGATTTCTGGAGCGCGATGCGCGCGATCATCGGGGCGACGGCGTTCGCGCCCAGCACGCGCCACATCGCGGCGATCAATGCTGCGATGGAGGAGTTCCAGGGCAGGAAGGAGACTATCAGGGCGAATTTCGTGCTCGCGCTCTACCGCGGGGAGTTCATGGCGAATAGGGCCCAGCTGGTCTTCGCCAAGAGTGCAGACACGCGGTCGGCTGTGGAGCAAGTGAACGACGACATGCAGGCGATCGACCGTCATTCGCACTCCGCCCAGACCGGGTGCGCCGAGTTTACCAATTGTTCTAAAGTTGCGCCGCATGGCCTGCAGCGCGCGCAGTGCACCCCCATCCCAGCGGCGACCGAACAGTGCGAGATCAAGCTCGTGCACCTGCTGTTGGGCGCGTGGAAGCAGGTTGAGTCCCAGGGCGGCTCGCCAACCCTTTCGCAGATCAACAACATCAACGCGCGCGCGCAGCATTCGACAGAGGTGTGGCCTCAGGAGTCTATGATCAATGCAATCGTCGGTTGGTGAACAGCGGACATGCAGCCTGCTGCGGCAGAGGAGCTCGCCGATCTTGATGGACCTGCAGTCGTGCTTTGAGCCGACCCTTGACGACGCGAAGTTCCTGATGTTGGCGAAGGTGGAGTCCTGCAAGGACAAGCCGACCGTCGAGGGGAACAGCCCCGCCGTCGAGAAGCTGGCGATGATTGTGGAGGCTGCGAGCGCGCCTTGCGAGTCGAGCCAGCTCCCCACGAAGCAGACGATTGCCGCGGCCAACTTCGCTGCGCAGTTCCCGAAGGAGGGCATGTCGAAGACCACTTGGAATACTTAGGCGAAGTACTTGGCATCGGAGATTGACGTAGTCCACCGGAGGGTGCAGCCGCAAGCGGCAGATGCGGCGGACTCCTTGCCTACTGATGACCGCGAGGTTCTGGTGACCCCTTTGCTCGCATCGTTTGTAGAGTACCAGAAAGTGTCCGATGAGGATGGCCAGCAAATCATTACCGACCGTGCGAAGGAGCTGGAGTCCAGCTTGGAGGAGTTCGTGACGACCACGAAGGATGACCTCGCGCACAGTGCCTTCGCGCTGCTGCAGGAACTGGCCAACCTCAACGCCGACCGTGCCCTGGCTCATGCGGGTTGCAAGAGCTGGCATCGCATGTTGAGCGACGATGCCAGCCTCGTGGGCTGTCTCGACGTCGTGGGAGGTTCGCTTCTCCAGGTGCCGAACCTGCTCGAGCAGGCCGAGAACGTGCGTGCGGCCATTGAGGACTACATCAAGGTGCGCAAGCAGGTTGGCGCGACGCAGGACGACGCCATCGTGCAGAGGGCCTCAGAGATGAAGGAGCAGCTGACCACCACGAGGCCGGAGCATATGCTCCTACATCTGTACAATGACCCGGGGATGCAGGCGTTCGGCGCGGAGCAGAGGGAGACCAACACCAGGGCGCTCAAGAGGGACTGCCAGCGCTTCGCGAGATGGGGGTCAGCTTGCGCCCCCGATCGCGCGCGGGCCGTGAAGACCATGAAGCGCAGGTGGATGCTTTCGGTTACCGACGCCGTGTGTCGTCGTCCTCGCCGAAGCCAGTGCTAGAGGCCATGGTATATCTGACCTCCACGTTTGCTTCGATGGTGGTCGTGATGGTGGCGCTCTATCGCTGGCTTCGGCGGCGGCGTCGGCGCGCGGCTTCGATGACCTCGTCTGGCAGGCTGCTTCTCGCTCGAGCCTGTCCGCTGAGGGACGGCGAAGATGATGAAAGCGAGGCGGGGCGAGGAGCAGGAGTGGAGGAGGAGGGGAGGAGAAGAGGACTGAGGGGAGGAGGAGGCAAGAGGAGGAGACTAACAAACGAGAAGCGGCCAGGCGGCCAGGCGAGTGGAGGACTTCGCGAGACACGAGCTCCCGTGGCGCTGGCGGCGAGTGGGAGATAAGACACATCAGAATAATCATACCTCGAACACACTGCCCACGCGAAAACGTAAGCCGCCGAATGCGAAATGCGTCACCCCGAGTCAGACACTAAAACAGGGAATTAGGGGGGATGGACAGGGGGGCGGATTCGGGGGTAGGGCAGGACGAGGAGGCAGAGGGGGGGGAGGGGGGGGCGCCTGCCTGCCGCCCTCGTTACGTCGACCCTACCTTCCCAGCGAACGCCGCCGCCCGCCGCGTGCCGCGGGGAGGGGAGAGGAGGGCAAGATTAGACGCAGGAGGAAGGAGGAGGAGGGGGAAGGGAGGAGGAGGAGGACGAGGAGGGCAGCGGGAGGGAGGTGGAGGAGGGAGAAAAAGGAGGACAAGGACAGCAAGGAACGCAGAGGCCCTCCCTCCTCCCTCTCTCCTCCCCCCTCGCGTGAATTTTTCCCCCCTTCAACCTTCTTGTCGCCGCTTCGCGGGCGCCGCTCTACCTTCCCCCTGGGCGCGCTGCGCGGTGCATCGGCGATGGCACGCAGTGCACGAAGCGTCGGTGGTGCAATGATATTGAAAAACAGAAGTTCCGAAATCCTTGGTTCTTGAGCGACACGGGCGACAATACGAAACCATTTAGAAATCAGGACGGGCCCCCAGGACCCCCGCAGAACGCGAACATAACGAACACAATGCGATTCAGAAAAACCTGCGGAACGACCCGCGGGTAAAAGACTGGTCGCCTTGCAAAACGATCCACCCATCTCCCCTGCGACTGGCAATCCCGACCCGGTACGTGCAACCTCTCGTTTTGCACAATGGCGCATTTTACATGCAATCGATTGGTGCTGCGCGAATGGCCCTCGCACGTGCAACATCGCCCACAGGCCCAAGATGACCCGCTGCATGTAAACGGTGCGATATCCAGCACCATGAGTTGTACGTAAACAGTACAAGCCTCAGGCTAGCCGTTGTAAGCGTAATCCGTACGCTATCTATGAATGTATTGTACCGTTTACGTGCAACGTCTCATGTTGCATAATGCACAGTTTACATGCAATGGACCATTGATGCGCAAACTCACGCCGTGCACCCCCCGCCCCGCCCGTTTCCCCCGAAACACGCCCCGCACGCAAGCCGTGCAGCCCCGCCCGTCCCGCCTAGACCACGCCCCGCAGAGTACGCCCCGCACGCACGCCAGACACCCCCACCGTTCCGCCAGCCCAGCACACGCCCTGCACGCGCGCACGCACGCACACGGCCGCACACGCAGCCGCACGCACAGGCACACACGCACACGCGCGCGTGCACGCACGCACACGAGCACACACATTACACACAAGCAGACACACTCGCGCTTAGAAGCAAATACGCACACACACACACACACACACACACACACACACACACACACACGCACACACACACACACGCACGCACGCACGCACGCACGCACGCACGCACGCACGCACGCACGCATACACGCACATACGCATACACACAATCACCCTCTTTCTCACACACACGCACGCACATACGTACACGTACAACATACCACGCACTACATCTGACCAAAGCAACCACAGTCAACCGCAAAGCCCAAGCTGAAAAAGGGTAACCATTTGGGCATACAGGGAATCCCAGCAACTGCACCCCATGTGCACACATTCCGATGGGTGCATGTCCATGCGCGCGTGCGCACGCTAGGTCAGAGAAATGGCGATCCCCAATATTGTTTGGATAAGTTTAAGCAGCCCTACAATAAAGACTGACATTCTTCCTCGCCTCAACATGCCGGTACAAGTTGATAACGAACAGGTTGTTGAATTGTTGGCCGGGCAGTTTTTGCGTCCAGTTTGTATTTTCATCCCCCGTGATTTGGGAGGTTTGTGTTCCAGAGTCGCTTAACCCTTCACCCATAAGTCCGATTATATCATTTGTGACCCACGCTCTTTTGATAGTGTTGCTGCTGAAGCTCCGATCCTTGCCGTATAGTAGGGATGGGAGAGGAGAAGGAAGAGAAAGGGGGTAGGGGAGGACGAGGAGGAGAGGGAGGAGGGGAGTGGGAGGGAGAGGACAGAAAGGAGAGGAGACAGAGGAGGAAGACAGAGGAGGAATCAAGATGAGGACAAGCAGAACAAGGAGAGGGAAACACAAATGACATGAGTACTTATTAGGAGAGGGGCAGTAAGAGGCGAGGCGTGAGGCGAGGCGCGAGGCGAGGCGCGCGAAGCGATAGCACAGGCATGGAGGGACGAGGAGGGAGGAGGGCCCCCCCTCCCCAAGCCCCCGATGTCGCGATCTGCTCACAGCGTGGGTCCCAGAAGTCTCGACCCACTTCCTGGGGCCGGTGCCTCGTCCCGAATCGTTGTTTCACAGCCCCCGCGCCCGCTGAGGGACCCCAGGTGCCAGGTCTGAAGCCCTTCCTCCTCGTCTTCGCACTTGTCTTCCTAGTCGTTATCCTCCTGCTACCATCGCTGCCCTCCCGTCGTCCACGCTGTCATCCTCGTCGTCCGCCGCCTTTGTTGCCGCCATCCTCCATACGAGCCCAACGGATAAAGGCGACCTTCTGCTTCGCACAGCGGTCGAGGCCGCGTCGGGTGAGTTTTTGTGGGCGCGCTCCCTCCCCCCCCAAACAACAAATTAGCCAAATCGACGATCTCGGCGCTTCCCGTTGTTGTCCGACCAGGTCTGAGCGCGTCCCTCTCGCCCGACCTCGCCGCGATCTGCTTGCCCCCAGAGAGACTTGGCATCGCTCGGACGTGTGCACTTTTTCTCGGCGAGAACCATCGAGGACCATCCTGGACCATCGAGCAAAAAAACACACGAACGAAACCGAAAAATGCACAGGAAATGGACGCCCGAGCGACGGCAAAAAGAGCGCCCCCCCCCCCCCCCCCCCCAAGCGGCTCGCCGAGCAGGTGGCCAACAGGCAGTCCAAGTCGGCAGCGGGGAGCACGCCAGGAGGCGCGCATGGGCGGGCTGGAGGAGGAGGGAGGAGAGTCTCGGGCCTGACGAAAGGGGGGGATAGGGAAAGGGGGGGTACGAAATTTGCTGCATGCAACTGGTTTCGGCCCCGCCGCCAGGCACATTCCTCCATACATGGGCGCCTCCCGGCGCCGGGAGGGGCCCGGAAAATCAGCTACGTGAGCTGATTCTCAAACCCCCCCTTTGTTATCCCCCCCTTTCGCCCTGCCCGAGAGTCCGGGGACAAAGAACGGTATGACATAAACTTGTCCGATGTCGGGGACGCCTGCCCCAGGGCGGCCAGAAAGTTTACGCCCCGACGCGCCACTGTAGGGGCATAAACTGTGCAGCCGCCCGGGGGCCAGGCGTCCCCGACGGCGGAACAGCTTGTTTTATCAGAGTGAGGGGGCTGAACCGAACGGTCATTGACTGTCCCTGGGTGCGTGGCTGAAGTGGAATTCCGCGATGCGGATTCTTGTCTTTGTTGTGGTTGTTGTTGTTTGTTGTTGCCGTCGTCCGCGACCCGCCCCGCGACCCACCCGTGACCCACCCCGCGGCCCACCCGCGACCCACCCGCGACCCACCCCGCAACCCGCCCGCGACTCACCCCACGACCCACCCGCAACCCGCCCGCGACCCACCCGCGCCCACCCCGCGACCCGCCCGCGACCCACCCCGAGGCCCCCCCGGCGACTCACACGCGATCCACCGGCGACCCACCCGCGACCCATCCGCGACCCATTCCGCGACCCACCCGCGACCCACCCGCGACCCATCCGCGACCCACTGCGACCCACCCGCGACCCACCCGTGACCCACCCCGCGACCCACCGAAAATTTTCGGCGCCTGCGGTGGGTTTCTTTTGCATTCGTTCCAGGTGTTCCAGGTGGAGAACCTGCGACCCACCCGCGACCCAAACCGCGTTCAGTGTACAAATTGAAGTTTTCGGCGACAGCGGCGGGCTGTTTTTGGCTTCCTCCCAGTTGGAGGTGCGGAGCCCGTGACCCACCCGCGACCCACACTACGTTCACTGATCAAGCCAAAACTTTGGCGCCTGCGGCGGGTTTCTTTCGGCGATCCACCCGCGACCCACCGGCGACCCACCCCGAGACCCACCCGCGACCCACCCTGCGACCCACCCGCGACCCACCCGCGACCCACCCGCGACCCACCGCGACCCACCCGCGACCCACCCGCGACCCACCTTTCGACCCACCCAAAATTTTCGGCGCCTGCGGCGGGCTTCTTTTTTCCCCATATCCTAAGATGGGGTTCTTGCTATTACTTGGACGCCTCCTACTCCCTCTCCCTCCTCCTCTTTCCTCCTCCCCTCCTCCTCTTTCCTCATACTCAGACCTACTCATACTCAGACTTACTCATATTCAGACTTACTCATACTCAGACCTACTCATACTCAGACTTACTCATACTCAGACCTACTCATACACAGACTTACTCATACACAGACTTACTCACACCCAGACGTACTCATACACAGACTTACTCATACCCAGACTTACTCATACACAGTATTACTCATACTCAGACTTACTCATACCCAGACGTACACATACACAGACTTTCTCATACACAGACCTACTCATACCCAGACTTACTCATACACAGACTTACTCATACACAGACTTACTCATACTCAGGCATACTCATACTCAGACCTACTCATACTCAGACTTACTCAACACACATCAGATTTGGAGGATGTCTCAAGCGGGGCGCTGGTTTCAGCACCCCTAAGGGGAGCCGCCAGGGGTGTTTGCACGGGCTCGTTCGCGGCCATTTTGTGGGGATGTCTCAGGCGGTTTGCTTGTTTCTGGGCCCAACATCCTTCGCTTGGAGAGCAGATTGTGAGGATGTCTCAGGCGGGGCGCTGGTTTCAGCACCCCTAAGGGGAGCCGCCAGGGGTGTTTGCACGGGCTCGTTCGCGGCCATTTTGTGGGGATGTCTCAGGCGGTTTGCTTGTTTCTGGGCCCAACATCCTTCGCTTGGAGAGCACATTGTGAGGATGTCTCAGGCGGGGCGCTGGTTTCAGCACCCCTAAGGGGAGCCGCCAGGGGTGGTTGCACGGGCTCGTTCGCGGCCATTTTGTGGGGATATCTCAGGCGGTTTGCTTGTTTCCGGGCCCAACATCCTTCGCTTGGAGAGCAGATTGTGAGGATGTCTCAGGCGGGGCGCTGGTTTCAGCACCCCTAAGGGGAGCCGCCAGGGGTGTTTGCACGGGCTCGTTCGCGGCCATTTTGTGGGGATGTCTCAGGCGGTTTGCTTGTTTCCGGGCCCAACATCCTTCGCTTGGAGAGCAGATTGTGAGGATGTCTCAGGCGGGGCGCTGGTTTCAGCACCCCTAAGGGGAGCCGCCAGGGGTGGTTGCACGGGCTCGTTCGCGGCCATTTTGTGGGGATGTCTCAGGCGGTTTGCTTGTTTCTGGGCCCAACATCCTTCGCTTGGAGAGCAGATTGTGAGGATGTCTCAGGCGGGGCGCTGGTTTCAGCACCCCTAAGGGGAGCCGCCAGGGGTGTTTGCACGGGCTCGTTCGCGGCCATTTTGTGGGGATGTCTCAGGCGGTTTGCCTGTTTCTGGGCCCAACATCCTTCGCTTGGAGAGCAGATTGTGAGGATGTCTCAGGCGGGGCGCTGGTTTCAGCACCCCTAAGGGGAGCCGCCAGGGGTGTTTGCACGGGCTCGTTCGCGGCCATTTTGTGGGGATGTCTCAGGCGGTTTGCTTGTTTCTGGGCCCAACATCCTTCGCTTGGAGAGCAGATTGTGAGGATGTCTCAAGCGGGGCGCTGGTTTGCAGCACCCCTAATGGGGAGCCGCCAGGGGTGGTTGCACGGGCACGTTCGCGGCCATATTGTGGGGATGTCTCAGGCGGTTCGCTTGTTTCTGGGCTCAACAGGGAGGGAAATGACAGGAACGAGGATGAGGAGGAGGAACAGGAGGAGGAGGAGGAGGCGGGGGATCGTGAGGAAGGGCATGGGGGTGCGGAGGGGGAGGGGGAGCAGGAGGATGAGGAGGAGGAGCAGGAGCAGGAGAAGGGAGGGGGCGGAGGAACAGGAGGAGGAGGAGGAGGAGGAGGAGGAGGAGGGCGCTTTGCTCGAAGGTCCTTGACGCGAGCAGAACGTTTGTTCCGAAGTCCAGGACATATATATATATATATATATATATATATGTATTCATAGGGGGTGACTGCGAGGGGGGGGCGGTGGTTGTGTGCGGGGGTCGTTGGAAATGCTCACCGTGGCACTATCCTCCAACATGACATGCACTTATGGCTTTGTGTGGCTAAACGCTCGTCTTACATATCCCACTGCCAACTACCCTACAACATATGCACATGTGGGAAGCTCCAAAGCTACCGCGGGCTGAAAAGGGGAAGGCCTGGCAGCTGAGGAGGGGGGGATGAAGAGAAAGAGGCTCGCATTCAACCATACTCAAAGCTCACTCTGACCCATACGCAATCACTCGCATTAGGGGTCACTCGTCTTCGTCGGCCCTGTCGCCCACGTGGACGCGCTATTGTAGTCGACCGCTCATGAACAGACGCTCGCCACGGCATGACATAAAACATGAGATGCACATATGGGGAGCTCCACGCAGTGAGTAATTCTATTCATTCCAGGTGACACACCTGCGATCCACCCGCGACCCAAGCCGCGTTCAGTGTACAAATCAAACTTTTCGTCGCCTGCAGCGGGCTGTTGTTGAATTCTATACGTTTCGCGTATCCCCACCAGCCCGTCCAGAAACGACGCCCAGGCGTGTAGAGGGTTGTCCTGAGGGGCTTTTCGGCATCTTGGGTGCCTCGGGGGGGGCCTCTGTGGGCCGTTCGGGATCCTCTTTGGGGCCTCCTGGGGGCCTCTTGGGGCCTCTTGGGGCCATCTTGGGGCCTTTGGGGGCCTCCTGGGCGCTTCTTGGGGCCTCCTGGGCGCTTCTTGGGTGCCTCTGGGGGGTCTCTTGGGGGTCTCTTGGGGGCCTCCTGGGGGTTTCTTGGGGGGCCTCGGAGCCATCTTGGAGGAGATCGATCAACGAAGGGGGGCTCCCTAATTACAGCCCCCCCCCTCAGGAGCCACGGTCCTCGTGAGGGGTGTCGAATTTTAGCCCTCCCAGGGGTCGATATTGGGCGCTCCAACGCGCCGCGGAACCCCCTGTCCAGGTCAGTGGTGAGGGGGTAGGGGGAGAGGTAAACCCCTCCCCGAAGGGGAAGAGGGAGGGGTGGAAGAGGAAACTCGTTAAACCACCGACGCCCAGAGGGCTGGTGGGATTTCTTCCAGGTGGAGGTGGAGAGCCCGCGACCCATCCGCGACCCAAACTACGTTCACTGAACAAACCAAAATTTCGGAGGCCGAGGACGAGGGCGAGGAGGAAAAGGAGGGGGGCCGGAGGGGGACGACGCGAAAGGAGGGAGGAGGAGGGAGAGGAGGAGGAGGAGGACGACGACGACGGAAAGGAGGAGGGGGGAGGATCGGGATGGGGGAGGAAGAGGAGGAGGAGGAGGAGGAGGAGGAGGAGGAGGAGGAGGAGGAGGAGGAGGAACAGGAGGAGGAGGAGGAAAATGAGGAACAGGAGGAGTTGGTGGAGGAGGAGGAGGAGGGCGCCATCGACAGCCCGTAGCCATTTTGGCTCAAGCCTCGGCTTGCCGAAATGCGCTGCGCAATTCACGCAGCCGTTTTGCCCCCGCGCGTCCCGCCGCAGCGCCCGCGTCTGTGGGTAAATTGAGGTGTTTCCAGTTCCTGTGGACCCGTGCGCTTCCATGTTGTCGCCACTGATGTCTGCTGATCTGGGGCTTTCCATATTTCTAGGTTTGTGTGCAGGTTTTCTGTCATTGCCTATAAGAATTGCGATCGTGGCTGCCCAACTTACGATTCATTGCTGCATATCTGGCCTGACTGTCCAGGAATACCCATCTACTGGAGCTGCGGTCTTGGCGGCGCGAGGTTGGCTCCCACGTCCTCTATTCAGGCTGTCTGTGCAGGTGAACAGGGCAGCTGGCTACGCTAAGCATTCACAGTTCACTCGGTTCTTTCCTACATTCGGCGGCAGGCGCGTCGAGCGCTCGAAGCTCAAGTCAGAAGCTAAATATTTTGTTCCGTCGGTGCCCGTGGTCATTCGCAGATTTGATGAGTTGGCGAAGGAGGAATTTGCATCGCATGCAATTCGTTCGTTCCCTAATGATGTGTTGCCAATTCACATGGTAATTCGGTGCACTCCAAATTTGATGCTGCTCATTCGATTCAGGTTTCTGCATTGGGTATCAGTGCCCCTCGTTTCCAAGGTAGTCCGCGTGGCCGTGCTGCTGCGTTGTGTTTGCCAGATACGGGTGCGCAGAGGCTCATCGAGGACCAGAACTCGACGATTGCGTTATTACTGGGGCAGCTGGAGCGCTTACAGTGGCAAATCCCTCGACAAACCAGTGTGGATGACAGGCTAGGAGATTCTCAGCTCATACAGGAGGCGACGGCCAATATCGGAAGACTGGAAGCTGTCATTCACGAGCATTCCGCCGAAATGGACGCCCGAATCCGAAGGTTGGCACGGTCTTTGGGGAAGTGCGTCAATGACTCCCTGGATTGTCGGCTGCCTGCAACGCTTGAAAAACCCAGTGGTGGACAGCAACCCGCCATTGCTCCGAAGCTGGAGCAGGTTTGTGAAGAGTTGAACTCGTCCCTTGGTTATTCTGTCACACGCCTTGGTGAATCAGTGCGGAATCGCCTGGCTGCCGAATGTCAGAATATCAGAGATGAAGTAGATGGGAATATCGCTTCTATCAGACAGGAATTGTGCCGAATGTCTTCTGAGTTTTCGCATGATGTCGCCCGCGAGTTTCATCCTGGCTTTGCGCATTGCAACGGGCCTCAAATCCAGCGCACTCAATGGCATGCGTGGGAAAGTATGTGGAGGGGATTATGATCGTGCGTTTGTCGAGTTCCTCTGCTGTGACGGTGCCAAGAAGATCAAGCCAAGCAATGTGGTGCTGGACAGTGGAGTCGCCGACATCAACCTCGCAGCTCTCGCTGCGACAACGTCCACGAGTACTTGTGAGGCTGCGCCCCTGCCGCCCCATTAAAGCTATGAAGAACTCATTGGAGCTACGTGCGAGGGCGCCATCGACAGGGAAGGTGAGGGCCACGAGGTCCGCAGGCTCGACGCCCGCGTCGCCCGCACCCGCCCCCTCACTTTGATCCGCAACTGCGGGGTGCTACGGTGCCGTTCTTTGCCCGCTAGGTGAGGATCGGCTACGCGCAGAAGGGGGGTATGGGGGAGGGGGAAAGGCGTCTGCGAAGCACCCATGCCTCTTAGAAGGCGCGAGCCTGGTCTATAGATGCAGGGTCGGCGCCTTCCAAGAAGCAGCCTCCTTCTCAGAAGCCGCCCCCCCTCCCCCTAGCCCCTTGTGCTCGCCGCCAAGAGGGAGGAGGGAGGGAAGTTCGTGGCGAGCCAGCATCGTTTAACCGACCCGTATCCTTATTCGTGGATGTATGGTCCATGGTCTGGCCCTCCCCCCCCTCATGCTGATGGCATCGGTCCACCCCCCTCCGCGCGATGCTCCCCCACTGTGGGTGTGGTGTGGTGAGGTCGTCGTCGTCGCCGCCGCCGCCGTTGTCGTCGTCGGGGAGCTCCGGAGGCCGCCGCCGCCGCCACCGCTGCTGCCGCCGCCGTCGTCGTCGTCGTCGTCGCCGCCGTCGTCGTCGTCGTCGTCGCTGCCGTTTTCGTCGCCGCCGTCGTCGTCGTCGTCGCCGTCGCCGTCGCCGTCGCCGTCGCCGTCGCCGCCGGCGCCGGCGCCATCGTCGTCGTTCTCGCCGTCGCCGTCGTCGTCGTCGTCGTCGTGGTCGTCGTCGTCGTCGTCGTCGCCGTCGTCGTCGTCGTCGTCGTCGCCGTCGTGGTCGTCGCCGCCGCCGTCGTTGTCGTCGTCGTCGTCGTCGTCATCGTCGTCGCCGTCGCCGTCGTCGCCGTCGTCGTCGCCGTCGTCGTCGTCGTCGCCGTCGTCGTCCCCCCCCATCCCATCAGTGGGAAGGAGCCCGAGGGACCCTGTCCCATCTGGGGGGGGGGGCCGTGGGCCCGGAGCCCGGGATCATATATCCCTTGCAGCCCAAAGGAAACAGCTCATATTCCCATCTCGGGGGGTAAATCGGCAAGTGGGGCCCAGGCCACGCCCATGGAAATAGGGCTCAGCCAGGAGAAGGGAGTTGGGGAGAGGAGGGAGGAGGAGAGGAGTTGGTGTCGCGCCCGAAAGGGCAGCGCGAGGGGGGCGGCCTTCTAAGAAGGCCGGGGGGTTTCTGAGAAGGATGGGGTCTCCTTAGAGAAGCCCTCTAAGGCCTCTTTCAGAAACCTCCAGGCCCTTCTAAGAAGGCCCCTGCCTTCCAAGAGGCGTGCCGCCTTCTCAGAAGGCCAATCCCCTCGCGCCACACCCCCTTGTGCGCGCCGCGGAGGGGAGGGAACCCAGGAGCGCGGGGCAACAGGCGAAGGAGTGGCAGGACTGTGTAAAAGAGTGTACAGATTGGGAGGTCCGAGCAGATTGCGGGGAGGAGTGGGAGGAGGAGGTCCGCGGGGCCCCCCCCTGGGTAACGCGTGTTACCCCCAGTGGATACAAGAACGACCTCCGTAATTTCGTCTTTAGAATGCTTTAGCGTCGATTAGTGTCTGTTAGTCAATGAACTGGTGCCCATTTAGCGTCGATCTATCGTCGGTTAGCGTAGGTCAGCGTCGGTTCGCGAGAGCCAGCAATATGGCACTTGATGCTCCCATGAGCTGCCCCCTCTCGAAGAACAAGAAACGGGGGCATCACATTTTCTTGGGAGGTCCGCACGGATCTCTTGGATCGGCGCTGGGCCCCCTGGCGGCGCTTCCGGCGCCTACCAAGGCGTCCTGCCAGGGAGGGGGGTCCAGTGCCGATCCGAGAAATGTTGCGTGGACTTTCGAGAAATGGTGTTATCGCAGTGATTGTTTCTCTGTTTCGCACCGTCCTTCCTACCCCCTTCATTCCCATCCCCCCAACCCCTCTCCCCGGAGCAACGTTGGACCCAGGACGCCCTCGGAGATTCAGCAGCTTCACCGGGCGAGCCAGGATAAGGATCCGGCATGCAGGCGAGGGATGCGAACAGGAGAGCGCACGGGGGCACGTGAGTTCCAGGCATCTGTTGCCATGACTTCTCGTGACATGGGTGCCCAGGTTTCTCGTCCCCTTCCAGGCGGCCAGACTTCTCGTCCTGGGGCCGTTCATGGCAGCCACGGGCCCGATACCCGCCGTCACGCTTATTCTTAGCATCTTTCGGACGTGTGTTTTTCTTCCTCGGCCAGAACCATCGAGGAGGATGTTGGATCATCTTGCGAGAGAAAAGCGTGCACGAAGTCGGAGAATGCAAGCGGAATGGACGTCCGAGCGATGGCAAGTGTTTCGTCACAGAGAGGTCTGGGCAGGAGGTGGTCATGAGGCCGCCTGCAGGCATGCGCCGCCATGCACGCGGGGCGCCGCAGGCCGAGAGACAGCAGCAGCTTGTTGCCGTGCGGACCGCGGAGCGTTCCGCGGCTGACGCTCTCTTGGCAGGGCCTCACTCCAGGCTTTCCGAAGCACTTGGCAGGCAGGCGTGCCCGCGCCCCCCTCCTCCCCTTCCCCCTCCCCCGTGGAGTAAATCTTGGCTGTTTTGGGCGCCTGTTCCAAGCAGGTGGGGTCTGCTTAGTGCGACTGTTGTAAACAGTCGCACTAAGCAGAGGTCCAGAGCCAGATCCCCCCTCCCCCCATCCCCTTCTACCCAATGTTGAAACGCCGAGAAAAACAAAACGATAGAACACGTTCATGTGTGAAGACAACACGGGTTCCGTATCCGTATCGACGGCACCACGGTCGTGGCTTTTGGTTCGCGAGCTTTTGAGCACGGGGAGTTGCTTCACGGGTGCCCCGCGCGGAATCTGCCCATGAGACCGCAGAGCCACGGGGTTGCGCCCCAGAATCCAGACCATGAGGGCGTGGATGTGATCATGTGCGTCGCTCGCGAACGGGGTACGCAGGAGAAGGAGGAGGAGGATGCGGCGGAGGAGGAGGAGGAGCAGGAGCAGGAGCAGGAGGAACAGCAGGAGGAGGAGGGGGACCATGAGAAGAAGGAGGAGGCGGAGGAGGCGGAGAAGGCGGAGAAGGAGGAGGCGGCGGAGGAGGAGGAGGTGGAGGACCATGAGGAGGAGGAGGCGGAGGACGAGGAGGAGGAGGAGGAGGAGGAGGAGCAGGAGGGGGAGGAGGCGGGTGGGCGGCCGCACCTGCCACGAGGCGCCGCTGCCTCTGGAGACAGCGGGTCTTCCTCCTCGGGCACCGCGACGCTCCGCGAGACCCTGGACAGCGCCATGGACCTGTGGCGCAAGGCCCCTGCCCCCTCTGGAGAAGGACTGCGTTGTTGGCCCCCCCCTGGGCTGAGACCACAGTGGCTCTAGCCTGACACTTCCTCGCCGCCGTCGCCGCGTCGTCGTGGCGTCCTGGTGGCGCCGTCGTGTCGTCGGCCCTGGCGCTCTGGGCATCATCCTGGCGCCTGTCGCTCGGCGCCCGCCCCGCTTGCCGTCCACCTGCACCTGCCCTGGCCAGGCCAAGTCGCCCGAGAAGGGAGGAGCTGCACGAGCATATCACACTCGCATCGGATGCAACTCCTGGGAGGTCAAATTCTGATGTTGTCCTGGTCCGAAATCCGGCTGAATCGGGCTTAATCCCGGTTAATCCGGCTTGATCCCGTTGAATCCCGATCTTAATCCGGCTTAATCCGAGGCCCATTCTGGCGCAGCAGCCCCTTTGAGAATCGGGGAGGGACAGACCTCCTGCCCTGACATGTCGATTAACGAATTGGCCGTTTTCGGTTCGCGAGAGGGCGTCGCGGCCGTCATTTTTGCGGGTCCAGGTCCGTTGGTCTCAGTCCCAGGCCTATTTCATTGAAGGGAGGTTTACTAAAGGGAGGTTTGTCCACCGCCGAGAGAAGGAAAGAGCTGCACGAGCATATCACACTCGCAGGTCGGCGCGAGTTTCTTTGATGGGCGCTGGACCCCCCTCAAGGGTCAAGGGGTTACGGGTCGAGGGTCAAGGGGGCAAGGGTCCAGAGGCAAGGGTCAAGGGGTCGAGGGCTGAGGGGTCAACCCATGGTCCATGGTTCAAGGAGTCTGCCCCTTTAAGGGTCAAGGGGGGAGTCCAGGGGGTCAAGGATCAAGTGGTCAGGCCTGTGTGCCCACGAACAGGCGGCCGCTGAGAGCACAGGCGGGCGAAAACGAGCAGGCGCTCATGCGGTGAAGAGCACACCTTGTCATACAATGTCAGGAATGCGTGTCGTTGGCTGCTACTCTCCAGTCACCCATCCCATACTCGTCGCAGGAGCACTGAGCATGAGATTCCCACTTTCGAAGAGGCACAGCAACTGCCTGAACATAAATTGCTCGCAGGTCCGCGCGGATAAATCGGCCGGGTCGCTAGATCCCCCTGGCGCGCTCCACGCGCCGCCCCTGACGCTTCGCGCTCTGGGGCTGCCCTTGGCGCGCTCCGCGCGCCAGGGAGTGGATCCAGCTCCGACGCGAAAAGTCCGCGCGGACCTCCGACAGCTTACGCTTACCCTGTGTGGTCCTCTTCCACCCCTGCCCCTTGCAGAGCGCCGGCGCCCCAGAATTCGGGCGCCACCCAAGACATCGCGACGGTCTCCGTAGCCAGGTTGGCCTCGAGGGCTCCTCGACGCCCACCCCTCTCCTCAGAGCGGGGCCGCCGCGGCTCCGCGACGCCGCGGCGGCCGCCGAGAAGCCGCCGCAGCCGGGATGCCCCGCGGCGGCCCGCGCGCCGCGGCGGCGCCTGGCCCCGCGGCCGGCCGGTCGGCGCGGTGGGGCGGCTCTGCGCGCGGTCGCCTGCTGGCGCTGATGGCGCCGCTGGCCCTGGCGCGGGGGGCGCCACAGGCGCCGAGGCCTCGCAGGCCGGCGGCCACTGGCCTCGCAGGCCGAGTCTTGGTGGCCAGTCCCGGGGAGCCTCGTGTGTCCTCGTGAGTCCGTCTTTGGAAGGCGCCAGCGTGCGCCGGCGTCTTGCAAAACATGGGGAAGCGCCGACCTAGCGTCAAGGAGCGTCGATTTAGCGTCGGCCAGCCTCGGTCAGCATCGGTCAGCGTCGACGTCGCAAGAGCCAGCAAGGTGGCATGGGAGGCCTTCAGGAGTTGCCAGGGCTGCGGGGGCGTGGGCACGCTGAACGTCAAGACGGGCGAGGTTGAGGGCTGGCGATGCGGAGCGCTGCAGGAGAAAGACTGCAACAACTCGTTGCTCACGAATTGCAGCGTGTCTTACTGGCCGATCAACTGCCAGAGCCCCTGCCCCTTCCTTGTGGAGGACCCCGCCGCTTCGTGCTTCTTCAAGCGCGTCGCGGTGGCCACTTGTTCCGAGGTTGAGCCCCAGTTGCCTTTCCCAGACGCCACCTTCAAGGACCACGCGATGTGCTCTGGAGTGATTGGGGACAGACAGAGGTGAGGGAGGGGGGGTAGGTGAGGAGGATGAGAGGGAGCGCAAACAAGGGGGCACAAACATATCGTTCATTCCATGTCTAGATATATCTATTTATATATATATATATATTTATAGATACAGTCCTTACAGATGTGTAGTAGCCAGCGCGGACCCCAGACAGTGTGTGTGTGTTCTGGTTAGCCATGTTGTGCAATCTACGTGGAACAAACAACGCCAGCACTGCCCCGAGTTAGGGGACACCCACGGGCCCTCTCGGGCGCCGGCGCCCCAGCAGAGCGGCCGCGGGGGCCCGCCCGCGGACGACCTGGCCTGCCCGCGCCCAGCTCGTCGAGCTTCGGTCACGCCGTTGCCCCGCCGGCTGGCCGCGCGGAGCGCCCGCCAGACGCCGTCGGCCACGCCCTCGGCCGCGCTGTTGGCGGCCGCGCCGGAGCGCCAGCGCCGGGGGCGCTCGTGGCCGCAGGGATGTTCTTCCTCCTGCCGCTTGCGGCCCACGCCCTCGTAAGCAGCCGCGCCGTTGCGCCCTCTTTTGGACTTGATGGCGCTAAGTGGACGTGTGCAACGGCGCAGGATGCCAAACGGCTTCCGCAGCCGACGCAAACGCTGCCGCCCGTGTTCGCATCCCACATGGTGCCACCAGCAGGCGTGTATGTCAGGCTCTTAGGCTGGGCGGACCCTGGCAGCGGCCCCGTGACTGTGCTCTTCGGAGGCGGGAACTACAGCTCGAAGCCCGTCGGCAACATCAGCCGATGGGAGGTGACTCTCCCCCCTGCAAATGTCTCGACCGAGCCCATGGACATCTTCGTCAGCACAGAGGCCGAGTGCATCGCCCTCACCTACTCGCTCGTCGGCGAGCTCTACATGTGCCTGGGCGCCAGCAGCGTGGAGGCTCATATTCAGTGGGATACGTACGCCGCGGTGGCGCTCGAGGAGGTCGAGGGCTATGGCGGCCTCCTGCGGCTCGTCAAGGTCGAGAATGAATGACGGGGAGGCCGATCCCGCGGACACCTTCACGCCGCATTCCCTGTGGTGGCGACCCCTAAATGACGACAAGATGGCCCACTTCAGCGCGCTGTGCTACTTCTGCCTGGAGATGATCGACCACAGGAGAGGCACGACAGTGTAGCTGGTGCAGGACGCCTGGGGCGGCGGGCCAAGAGACAGGCGCTGTTAGAATGCAGTTCAACCGTGAACGAGCACGGAGGGACGGGCATGTTCGGGCAACCTCCATCCTCTTCGACGCTCTTTACTGGCATGGTTCATGCATGGGCCGCGATGGGCATGAAGGGCATTGTTGTTAATGTACACGGGGTATCAGAGTGCATCTACCCAGCGGTGGTCTCGCATTGGCAGAGAGCGTCCGAGGAGAAGGGTAACGAGAGACCAGCTGTGGGTGTCGCGCAGTTCGGCTGTGCTCTCCCACGTAATGTTAGGAGAGACCCCCGCACTCGCAAAACGCAGATGCACTTCTCGAGGCGAACCGCACGGTGATGGCGGTGACGTCGGACTGCTGCGACCTAGCGTCGCCGCATACGATAATACACTCGCCGAACAAGCGCGAGGAGGCTGCAAGGCTGGCGGAGGTGCGAGACGCCATAACTCACCCCGGCACACTGGCCCCCACGACCTTCCCTGTGCCCGTGGCGGTGCTCGCCGGATCTTTGGACTCAATGCTGGACTCCAGGGGGGAAGCGGGCAGCGGCAGTTGCGAGGAGCACGTTTGGGGTATCCGCGCGGAGTTCGACCAGACCCTCGCTATCAGACCCGAATTCACGCCGTCCCTCCAGAGGTTCTCCCACATCAGCAACTTCGAGCTGTACTTCAGTGTCGATTCGAACCTCACTAAAGCCCCTGTCGATGTGGCGCTGACAGATGTTCAGGGCAACGTCGCGGTGCTTGGCGCCACGTTGCCCTGTGCTAGCCAGGCTTGGCCCTGGCCTGGCGAGCTCCCTTTTTCGGAGCGGGGACTTCCATCCAGGTGCTACCACTGACGAGCAGGGCTGGCCAGCCAGTGGGGGAGTTCAAGGTGCCCGTGCCCACGTGATGGCTGCGACCGTTCGACGGGCCGCCTGGGCGAGCGTCGGGCGTCCGTGCCGCAGGTTAGCTCCCCTCGAGGCCGCCGCACCCACTGGGCATGGCCATGATCCATGGACGAGCTTCTGGCGCACAGGCCTGGGAGCCCGGAGCGCGCGCGCGCGCGCAGCGCACCAGCTTGCCGCCCGCGGAGGCCGCAGAGCGCGACGAGTCCACGAACGGGGGCGCCAGTCCAGCGGGCGCGCTGGGCGACGGCGGCCGCGACGACCGCGGCCACGCCGACGCGCGCGCGGACTTGCCACGGGCAGGACCCCCGCCAGCGTGGAATGCATGAACTGGGGGCGGTGGCTGGCCGGCGCGGACGCTCTCCAGGTGTGTGTGTGTGTCTGTGTCTGTGTCTGTGTCTGTGTCTGTGTGTATGTGTCTGTGTCTGTGTCTGTGTCTGTGTCTGTGTCTGTGTCTGTGTGTCTGTGTGCGTGCGTGTGTGTGTGTGTGTGTCTGTTTTTTTGCGTGTGAATGTGAGTGAATGTGTGTGTGTGTGAATGTGTGTGAACGTATGCGTGTGCGTTTGTGTGCGTGTGTCTGTGTGTGTGTGTGCGTGTGTGCGTGTGCATGTGCATGTGCGTGCGTGCCTTCGTGCGTGCGTGCGTGCGCGTGCGCGGTGTGCAGAAGGCCCCGCTCGAGGCCAACAGAGCGAAACACCATGAAGCATGGTGTTCTCGATTTTGCCTCGTCGTCACTCTCGCTCCTGCCATGCAGTCTTCTCCATGTAGCTTAAACTATAATCAATAGTTCGTGGTTGCATTGGCTGGGGATGCCTCCAAGAAAATAGTCTGCGTAACCTTGTTGTTGCGACCAGGGAGTATGCATAACATCTACTCACACGGTGGTGCATTTTTCTCAGGGGCATGATTTGTTAAGTATTCGGTGAGGGCGACTCCCCCCTACTTCCTTGTCCTCTCCTTCCTGGAGGTGTGAGGTGGCGTTTCGCAGTTGTCTTTTGTTCGCTACGGGAAGGCTGTAACCCCTGTGCAGTAGGTTAATGCGGCGTTTGCGCGCATGTGACACCAGCGAAGGCGTTCAAGCTTGAACTCTGCGACGCGGAAGCACCAAGGGACACAGTGATGCCACTGGACCCGACGGAATTCAACCTCGAACGATCGTGGCCGCGATCGGTTTAAGGTTGAACGATCGACGCGGTTTCAAAAGCTTTTGCGCGTGCCGACACCACGCACACCTACGGCCAGACCAGGGTGTAAGATCGCGGTCGGCTCGGGGAGGGTAGTTACCCTAATTTGTTTCGCGTTTGTTTGATGTTATTGCGAAGGCCTTGCGGCCGGTGCCGCCGACCTTGAGAACGACGAAGATGAAAACGAGGGGCGGGCAGGGGGAGGAGGATGAGTGGGATTTGGAGGAAGGGTGGAGGAGGTGGAGGAGGGAGGAGGAGGGGGGGAAAAGGATGTGGAGGAGAAGCAAGGGGAGGAGAAGGAGGCAGAGGAGAGCAGGAGGAGGGGGAGCAGAGGGGAAGGAGGAGGAGGAGGAGGAGGAGGAGGAGGAAGAGGAGAAGGCCAGAGGCGTTCTCTTGGGACAGCCTGGGGCTCTCTTGAGGCCGTCTTGCGCCGTCCAGGGCTCCTCTTGCGCCGTCTCGAGGCACTCTTGAATGCCTCCTGAGCAATTAGGGGCTCTCCTGGGCTGTCTTGGGGCAGTTTCGGGGCTTCTTGGGAGCCTCCTCAGGCCTCTTGGGGTTTCTTCGGGGCCTCTTGGGGGCCTCTTGGGGCTTGGAGCTCGAAATGTCTGTTCGGGTCCCCCGTCTGGGCACTCTCGTGGAGCCGTGTTGGGGGCCTTTGGGGCTGTTTTGGAGGCGTCTTGGGCCGTCTTGGGGCCCTCTTCGGCCGTTTGGGGACCCTCTTGGGAGCCTCTTGGGCCGTCTCGGGGCGATCTTGGGGGCCTCTTGGGTCGTCTTGGCGCGTCGGGAAGCAGAAGAGGCAAGAACGCCAACATCTTCCAACAACTTATGGGGAATCCATGAATTTTGCCACTTGGGGCTCTCGTGGCAAAGCTCCTGGAGGCCTCTTGGGGCGCTTTGTAGACCTTTTGGGCCGTCTGGAGGCCGTCAAGGCGTCTTGGACAGATCGTTCGGTGATTCGTGTTTCTCTTGGACTGTCTTTGGGGCCTCTTGGGGCACTCTTGGGCGGGGGAGGGGTCGAAGGGAAGGGGCTTCCCTTCGACTCAATTACGACGTTGCTCAACTTTGGGGCAGCTTCGACGAGCCCAGGGGAAGGGAAGGCAGGGAAAGGGGACGACAGAGACGACGACCAACGAATGACAGAGATGACGACTTGAACGGACAAGCCCCTCACACACGCCGCCAGGGCCGGCGGATTTTGCATCCTGGGAGAGGGCACCCTCGAATGTTCTTCAGTTTGGGCCGGAAGGCCAACACATTAATTGCAATCAGTCGACCAGGTCTGCCGTAGCTAGTGTTTTCCAGGTGACGGCAGTTCTGGTTAGTGGAATGAGGTGAGGCGGGCGTCCCCTGGTACACATCATTGTAAACCTGGTCCCAGTGAACCCAGTTCTGCCACCACCCGACTCCAGCGTGTTTGTTCGTCCTCTGCTTTCCTCGGCGGCCAGCGAGGGGGGAAGTGAGAAGGAAAAGGCCTTATCAGATGGGGGAGACGGAAGACATTGGAGTACGCCAGAATTTTGGTTATCCGACGCTCTTTGACGAGCGCGTCCTGGGTTTGGGTGGTCCGGTGTTCGTCATTTTAATGATGGCCCCGTCAGGCCCTCCCGAGTCCCCCAAACCCGAGTCTTACGTCTTCCCGATCAGAAGGCGGCGGGTCTTCTCAGAAGCCCTCCGACCTTCTGAGAAACTGCTTCTGTCTATTGGGAGAGCTCAGAACATTTTCTGAAGACCGGAGGACTACTGAGAAGGCCCGCCCCCTCGCCTTTCCCCTCTGGGCTGGCCGCCGATGCTCCGTGCACTCTCTCTCACTCTCTCTCTCTCTCTTTCTCTCGTCGTCTCTCTTGGCGCAGTGCGCTTCTGCGCACGCCTTCCGCGGGGTGACACCCCGCCCTCCGAGTGCGGGTCGAGGGCACGAGCGGCGCGCCTGAAGGCATCCTACATCAAAGCAATGCAGGGAGCTGCCGGGCGATCCAGAACAGGGAACGGTGGCCCTCCTCCCCCGGCGGGCTGGACTCCGGAGCCCTCTGCCGCGGCGGGGACCGGCCGGCGCAAGGCCCCCCGCCGCTTGGCCGCGGACGAGGCCGTCTTCGAGCCCGAGGAGGCCGAGGTGGAGGAGGACCCGCGGCTGGGGAGGTGCGAGACGGGACCAGGTGCGAGGAAAAGGTAAGAGGAGGAGGAGGAGGAGGAGGAGGAGGAGGAGGAGGAGGAGGAGGAGGAGGAGGAGGAGGAGTCTTGCATGAAAGCCCCCCTGACGTGGCTAACAACTCTTGGAGTTCTCCGCCCTGAGGTTGTGATATATGGTGCAGAAACATCATGCTTCGACGCTCCATCCAGGTGCCACCTTGGCCACTGACGCTCTCACCTCAACCCCCCGGTGTTTTTTCGCATGGTTGGTGAATAAAGCCGATCTCGCGTATTTTCCGTAGTCCTTTCTCTCAGGGGAGGGGTCTCGCGCGGCGTGCCTTTGACGTGCTGCTGCCGGCCGCCGCCCTGGGCCTGGGCGCGGTCGGCCCCGCTGCGCTGCTCCCGCTGGCGTTCGCTGGGGGCTTCTGGCTGGCGGGTTTCCGCGTTCCTGCAAGCGCGCCGGCACCGCCGCCCGCGCCCCCGCTCGCCTACACGTGTGCCTGCCCCCCCCGAGGGCTGGCCGCTGTGGGGAGTGGTTTTCGCCTTCCTGCTGGGAGGCCTCAGCGTGCTCAGCTGCTTGGGCTGCTCCACGGCCGTCGCGGGCCTGGCTTGGATGTGGCGCGGCCGCTCCCTGCGCTGGCCCTCGGAACTCTCAGCGCCTGTAGTGCAGGCGAGCCGAAGGCGACTGGTTGGGTACCAAGGAGATCGCGTCCTTTGATGACGTGAGCTTCGTCTGCGACGTGCCCGACGACTGCACGCGCCTCGCATGGCTGCGGGACGAGGATGGAGCGCTTGGCGGAGTCGCTGTGGTGGCCGCAGCGGTCCGCCGCAGGCCTGGAGGCTTCATGCTGGCAGTGCCTGCCAGCGGCATTCACGACGACGAGCTCGCGGGCAGCCTGGCGGAGGAGGGCCACGCGCTGGGTTCCCATGTCAGGACGCGGGTCAGAGCTGCTGCCCGAGCCAATGGTGCAATATCGCTGATTTCGACGTTACTCGACGTGCTCTTCGTGGATGTGATCAGCGAGGTGGAGCTGGAGCTCGTCCCCGAAGCGGTGTACTTCGAGGGCGTCGTCCACTCGAAGACACCGCTGTGCCACTTCACGGCGCGCGGGCGGCACTGGCCGCACGGTCAGTCGCTGCCGGGCGAATCGTCTCGCGCCTACCGCGAGGAGTTCGGCGAGGAGGCGCTCGCGGAGTTCCTCGCGGCCGCGGAAAAGGAGCCTGAGGGCGGGGGGGGGCGTCGGCAGACCCGACGCGCTGCTGGCCGTCGGCGCGGGCTCGGTCGAGGACGAAGAGCCCCTTCCGCCGGCTGTGGGCCGCGGCCTCGCCCCAGGGTCAGCTTCAGCAGCCGGGCCTTTGCTGGCCAAGAAGACCCCGTTGCGGCGGCCCACGAGGGCGAGCGCCCGGCGGAGGCCGGCGCCGGTGGGCCCCACCTCCAGCGTCCGCCGCGGCAAGGCCGACCGCCGCGCCGCTGCTCGCGAGCGGGGGCGTTGCTGCTATTCGGGCCGCCTTTGCTCCCCGCGCGGCGGCGGGGCCCGCCCCCCCCGCGGCGCTCGGCTTTGGCGCGTCGCCGACTCCGCCGCCTCAGCCCCTGGGCAACGGGCGGGTCGAGGCGCCGGGGGATTCGCAGGCGGCCTGGCAGGCGGTCCTCGGGCGACACGGGGCGCCTCCTGGTCCAAAGCTGCGCGGGCGTCGCGCCGCGGCGCCCTCGGGGCCTTTCCCCGGGACAGGGGGCGACTGCGGCGCCGAGGGCGAGGACGAGGTGACCGCCGGCGGCGCCGACATGGAACGCTTCGCGGCGGCCTTGATGGGCGCGGCCCGCGCCAGCGTGGGGACGAGCGCGGCGCATGCGGCGACGACCTCATGGGCCTGGGGGGCGGCAGCATCGGGGCCGGCGCCCGCGGCGCGGCCCATCGCGAGGCGTCGGTCGCCGCGAGACGGCCCGCCCCAGGCAGCTTCTCCAGACCCGCGATGGAGGCCATGGCCGCCCAGAGCCGCTCCTCCCGGCAGCCCTAACACGGTGCGCGACCTCGCCCTGATCATGTGGCAGGTAGCGGACATCGTCGACCGATTGTGGATGAACCAGTGCGCCGAGGCTGCGGACTCTGCTGCGCTCCGGATGGTCGGGCTGGACCAGGCCGGGATCGACGGCGGTCGGTTCGACATGATGTGGTTGTGCCAGTTCGAGCGCGACCCGCCCGCGTCGCTCTTCGCGAGGGGCGGGCAGTCTGCGGCGGGGACGCGCCAGTTCAGCCTGCTGGCCAACCCGCGCTGGTCCACGGTGAATCTCGCCTTCCTCCGGGAGCTGGACTTGTCGGGGACGCGGCGGAGCGAGCTCCAGAGGCCTCAGGGGCGGACGCCAGTGCTCATGGGGCCGCAGTGCGTTCGAGGGGCAGCAGCCCGCAGGGGCCGGCGCGATCGGCCCCGGAGGCGGGGGCGAGGAGGCCGCGCCCAAGGCGCGGCTGCCAGCCCTCAGGCCTAGAGCCGGAGGCGACGAGGAGGGCGGATATCCCATGGAAGAGCGCCATTTTTTTCGGGATCTAGCAATTGCACCATTTTTCTCGCGCCGGAACGGGGCGGGTGAGGATGTGCAGGGGCATTCGGCGCAAGCATTGGATTGCGCGGGCATATCACATCGAATATAACGGTTTCGTCGGTCTTAACCCAACGCGGCGCGCGGGGCGAATCCGAGGTCATTGTTGACGCCCGCTGCGACTTGTTCGGATGTCAATTGTGGCGCGGAGATTTGGGCGCTCGTCGCGGGGAACCCGGCGGCGCGCGCTGCGGGTAGTGCGGCCTGGGAAAACCGCGGCTGCGGAGCTTGCGAAAGTGCGACATCCTCTCTTTGCAGTTATGCTGGAAGAATGGCGTTCGCCCCGTGGTCGCGGGGCACCTCGCCCAACTGGGCCGCTGGGCGGGGCGGGGCGCCGTCGTCGCGCGGGCGCCGCGGGCGCCGGAGCAGCGAATGCATGTATTCAGTTTCGGTTACATGACGATTTCCCGTGAATTGCGCATTGGTTTTATTTGTGTTTCGATTACATGTATTCAGTTTTGGTTACATGTTTTCACTTCTGGTTACATGGATTCACTTCTGGCTGCACGTATCCAGCTGGCGTTCTGGGGGAAACAGCGAAAACGCCGCTCGCGAGTGACGCGTTCCGCAGTCACAGGAGTGACGCCTTGCGGCTTGCGTTGTATAAGAAGCAGGATGCCGCGGGGCTTTGCCGCCCGTAGCTTCGGCTTCTCGAATCCGCACTCCTCAAGGTGCTCGCCATTGTGCGCGCCTCAACGTGGGTGCCATTATCTCCGCGCAACAAGTAACATCCCGATTTACACCTACGGGCGTCAACCTCGGGGCCGGGCTGACACCGCGCGCCGCCGCGCCCAGTCATGGCCGAGACTACCGCGAGATTCACTTCGCCATTTCCGCGACATTGCAAGCCACGCGCCGCGAGTCTTTCAAATGGTTACCTTTTTTTCACTCAGGCGCCAACAGGGAAGGCCGCGCTTGCCGAGCTCCACTAGTGGATAGCTCTCCCCCGAGCTATCCGCCCTGGTCGTCGCCTCCGATAGAGAAGGACCCCGGAGGAGCCCCTGGCGGACGGCTCCTCTGGCCTGGACCCGCTGACCCCCGCCGCCGCGCTCAATGCCGTGGCGAGGCGGTCGCTCCGCTCTCGCGGAGCGGGTCTCTACTCCGCCGCTCGGGGGCCCCAAGGGCGACGTTCCCGTCGTACATCGGGGCCGCCGTCTGCGCTGCTGCGCGGCCTCAGGAGCGGCAATTAGCTGAGGCACCCGCGGGAACCACTGTAATCTCCAGACTGTCGTCCACGCTGCGGTTGGCTGCGAGGCCGTCATTGTTGTGCGCGGTGGGGGAAAGGGCTGCGGATGGCTCCGAATCCTTCAAAAGGGGGCGTCTAGCCTCTGGCCCTCGAAACAGGGCTGGGCCTGAACGGTGTTCCGGCGATTTCGCGGGCCGTTTTCGTTTCGATTTCGTTTTGCCGCAGAGGCAGGTCGAAGACAAAAGCGAGGGAAGTCGACAACAAAACGAAAACGAATTAACACCGTTTAGGTTCAGCCCTGCCTCGAGAAACTCGCAATTTCAATAGACGTAGGGCGGCCCTGTATGGCAGCCAGGCGTAGTTCTCATATGAACACGTCCTGCCTGAACGGTCCTGTCGATCCTGCCGTAGGCGCACCGGTGACTTCGGGCGAGAAGCTGCTCCGCGCTTGCCAGGCCGAGATGTCTTCCAGCGCCTGGTCGAGCATGGAGTTCGTTGAGGCATGGGCGCAGTCTTTGCAGCCGCCGACGGGGGAAAGGTGGGCACGCCAGCAGGCTAGAGCAAGGGGGGGCCGAGGAGGTGACTGGCACTGCTGTAGCCGGTACACGCAACGCCTGAAGTGGGAGCGCGCGTGTAGCATCCGTGGTCCTTGTACGGAAGGCTTGGCGTACATTTCATCGGGCGAGAATCCTCGGTTGCAGTGGGCGTCCAACGGAGTGAAGCCGACCCAGTGCGTGTGGTTGAGGGTACTTGGTGCGCATGTCCACGGTGCCTGGTTCAGCGGGTTCCTCTTTGTGATAGCCGTGGGTTTCAGGGGGAATTGGAAATGTTATGTTGGTTGCGGCCGTTACGTCGCGCGCTTCTTGAAGTGTTTGAGGCGCTTCTTGACCTCGAAGAAGAGTTGCCCTGTGAACGCCTTGTCGTCCTCATACCCTGCCTTGAGCTGCTGCTTGAGGTCTACGGTGGAGGCGTCGGTGCGTTCTGCAAGTAGTTTCTTTTTCTCGCTGGGGGCGATAGGTAGCGCCGCAGGGCCGCCTCGAGCGCCCCTTTGAGCCACATGCTGCGTCCACTGTGTGAGGCTGGGTCGTGAACGAGTCCCCTTGCTGTAGTTGCGGTTCCGCTTGCCATGTTTGGTGCTTGCCATTTCGAATATGTCGGTTTCGAGAGAGCTCTTCTTTTTAGCAACGTGGGGCTGTTGCTGCATGTTGATTCCCGCGTGAGGATGTCCGTCTTCTCTACCATTTCGTGGTCGAGGAAGTCGGCACCGCCGTACTGGTGGCGCAGTTCTGCTCGCGGCTTGGGTAGTGCCAACTTTGCCGTCATGAGGTGCAGCCTGGTAACTAGCGTTCTCTGTTTGCGCTCGAAGAAGGGCTTGGTCTTGGAGTTAAGGGTGTCGGTTATGAAGTCCCAGTGCGCCTCTGTCGTGCAATGCAGCGTAGGTGCTCGCATTGAGTCGGTGTTGTTCGAGATGGCGGTCTCCAATGCTGCAATGAACGCGTGACGATGAGCGCCTGTCTGTAGAGAAGTTGCCGTTTCTTCAATAGCCCAAAGTGTCAGCTGCCTGCTTGTTCAATAGTTTGGCATAGTCATCTCCTGGGCTACCGATGAGGGAGACGTGATATCTTGGCACGTTTTCCGTTGTGCTGTATTGCTGCAGCGACTTGCCACCGAAACCCCCACAAGGTAATATGCGGTATAAGCCCATGGGGGACGGCCAGGTAGTCAGGACGTGGCGCGCGGCCCTCACTCCCGAAGTATGTACGCCCAGCAGGCAAGAGCGCGAAGACAGAACTCTTGCCATGTACGTCCATCTGGTGGTAGAATGCCGTGGCAGCTTCACCTAGTCGGCCGACTGGCTGAGAAACTTCGCAGACATGGTAGATCTCTGTAGCGATAAGCCCTGCCTTTTTCCGAAGTGGTTGTTCAAATACAGGCCTATGTGCGTGCTGCTTCTCGTCGGTGCGGCTCTGAGGGTACCACTGTTCCATGTGAGCGTTATGTCGACCGTATTCTTCCATTGGTTGTGTACGGCGACGAGTCCTGTCCACGGTGGGAGATGAGCAACCAAGAATGGGAAGTCGAGCTCGCCGCTCTTGTTGCAAATGGCTTCCGTTCTCCCTTGAATATGCTTGGACGGGCTCGTCGATGCGACGACGATGGGCTGTCTGAACCTCTTGCTATTGACCGTGATGGCTTCGCCCGCATGGCTGTAGGTGTGTGGTTCGCGTCCGTAGCCCCAGCTGTAGACGGTGTGATTGAACGACTGGAGGTAGTCCGCCTCCAAGCTGGGGTCGTGTTGACGCCAGCGCGTGTCGGGCAACATGATCACGTCCACTTCGGTGAATTGATGGCGGGTCTCGAGGCAACGATGCAAGTTGGGCGTGGGCGGCTGTGTGTGAATTCCAGCTGGGAACCGACATGGTCCGGATTCTGAATATGTAGGATTTGGAGTCCCCAGGCAGGCTGGCATGATTTGGAGGACGACCCAGGTGGGCGGGACTGCTCTGCGCGGGGTGCCTGCTAGTCGCTGAAAAGTTGGCTTGAGCAGAGGCGGCGGCTGAGGAGGTAGAGGAGGAGGAGGAGGAGGAGGAGGAGGAGGAGGAGGAGGACGAGGTGGAGGACGAGGAGGAGGATGAGGAGGAGGACGAGGAGGACAAGGATGAGGATGAGGAGGGAGAGGAGGAGGAGGAGGAGAGGGGGCGACGGGGCACCGTCCGTCCGGCCTGCGCGCGAGGCTCTGGCCATGAAGCGGGGGTGTGGGGCGGCCTTCTCGCCTTTCTTCGGACGGGGCCACAGTCGGCCCGGATTAGTGGGTCGACCCCGCCAGCTCAAGGGTACCCTTCTGTCTTGTGCCTCGCGACGCGTGCTTTTCTTACACTCTTACGGCGATGTGGCCCTCGGAGGGGTCTTGTGTCCTCTCGCGTGTCCTGTCCAATCAAGGCCGACTGTATGACGATGATAGATCCGTTCCAGAGCGTTCCGGAACGCTCTCAGAGCGATCCGAAACGCTTTGAGAAGGGCGGGGCACACGAGACATGCTCCAGGGCCGCGGGATCTCAGAGATTTTCGATTTTTCTTCGCCCGATGTTATCCTCTTCTTGGCGTCGTCTTATTTCTCGCCTTTCCTATGGGCGACCCCCAGACCCCCTCGGAGTCATGGGCAAGTCGCGATGGAAGGTTTTTGGCGACGTTCGGCCTCTGAGAGCCCGTATGGGGCTTCTGGTCCGTCCAAAAACAGCTTGGGAAATGGGTCGAGACCTCTGGTGGGTCGACGCCATTGAGCAATCATGACTTCGGCGACGGTGTTCTTGCGTGTTCACCCCGATCCCGCAGAAATTCATGGGGGGCGTTGGTGACAAAAAGATGGGATATTGATTTCGTTGTCGTCGTTCTCCCCCTACTCTCCTCCCCTCCACCACCCAGAGGGAATGAGGGGGAGCGGGCGGAGGATAATCAGGAGGAGTAGTAGGAGGAGGACGAGGAAGGGGAAGAGGAGGAGGAGACGTCTCCCTCCCATGGCTGGTTTCCGCCCCGCTCCTCGCAGGACGTCGGGCCGTTCGATTCGTTCACCGTGGACATCCTTGAGCCCATGCACTACACGCTGACTCGGGCCCGCCCGGCAGAGTCCGAGAGAGAGTAGGTACAGTGGCGGCCGACATATACATACATATTTAGATATACAGATCTACACATGTATTCACATGTATGTATGTTAGCCAGCGTGGACCACACTCAGTCTGTTTCTAGCAGTAGAGGTGGTGCAATATATGTGGCACATGTTGTGCAATTTCTGTTGTGCAATATGTGTTGCACAATGCATATTGTGCAATACATGTGGTGCAAACTATGTGGAACATGGTGAAACATATGCTGCGCAATAAGTGTTCCACAGTCTACGATGTGCAGCACATGCTGTGCAATACATGTGGTTCAATATACATTGAGCATCCTCTGTTGTGCAGTAGATGCTGTGACATCGCGGTGGTGCAATCTGTGTGAAACCATACATGTGGTGCAAGATGTGTGGTGCAACAGTTGTGGCGTCGTCTTCCACATGCAACGTAAGCTGTGCAACATTTGCTGTACACTAAAGGTGGTGCCACCTATGTGGTGCAGACTATATTTTGCAATGTAGGTGGAGCAACGTGGAGCATTGAGGCAACGATCGCAACGCACATCAATGCAATGCAGTGCGAAGTGTCGCAAAGCAACGCAAAGTAAGGCACCGCCGTAAAAAGCAATGCACAAGTATGTACAACACTGCGAAGCAGCGCATAGCAGTGCAATGCAAAACAATGCAAAGCAGCGCGAAGCGGGCGGCGACGAGGCGGCGACGGCGGCGACGAAGGCCCAAGCGACATGCGGCACATGGCGGCGACGATGCGGCGACGGGGCAGCGACGGCGGCTACATTGCCGCCAGGCCGACCCGCAGCCCCAACCAGTAAATGCCAGCATTGTTCTAGTCTTAGGTACGTGCGTGCATCTATTATTTTTAAAAATTATTGTTTCTGCGTGTTAGCCAACATGCCGTAGCTCTTTTGGCTCAAGCCTGTTGGCTCAAGCCGCTCTGGCTCAAGCGGGCCTCAGCGGCTGGCCGGGCCTCCGCCCGTCGGTCCTCGGCATCCCCGCCCGCGGGGGCGTGCGAGGGGGTCGCCCCCCTCCGCGCCCCCGGTCGCTCGACCATGGAGTCGCGCTCGGCGCGGCGGCGGCGGCAGCGGCGCGCCGCCGCCGGCTGCGCCGCCGCCGCGGCCGGACCGGGCGGCCGGCCCGGCCGGCCTGCCGCCGCTGCGGCCCTGCGTGGCCCCTGTCGGCCTCGGCGTGGCCGCCGGCGCCGCAAACGCGGCCGCCGCCGCCGCCGCGGCCGCCGCGGCCGTCGCGGCAGCCGGCCGCGGCGAAGCCGCCGCGGCCGCCGGCGCTGTGGCGCGCGCTGCTGCGCTGGGGCCGGCCGCGGCGGCCGCGGCCGCCGCGGGTGCGCGGCCGCCGCTGTGGCCGCGCGGCCGCGGGTGACGCCGCGCCCGCCGTTGCGCCCGCCGCGGCCGACGCTGCCGCCGCCGCCGCCGCCGCCGCCGCGGCCGCCTCTGGCGGGCCGCTGGTGGCGGCCGCTGATCGTGAAGCTGGCGCCCAACATCATCACCCACGTCATCCTGAACAGCTGGTGCGAGAAGGGCAGGCCTGGGCAGTGACAGCTGGCCGTGGCGCTGACGGGCGAGACCCTGGTCGTGAAGCTGGAGCCCAACATCATCACGTACGGCACTGTGAACAGCGCGTGCGAGATGAGCAGGCGTCGGCAGTGGCAGCAGGCTGTGCCGCTGCTGGGCGAGATTATGGCCGCGAAGCTGGAGCCCACCATCGTCACCAACGGCGCTGTGAAGAGCGCGGGCGAGAAGAGCAGGCGGCAGCAGTGGCAGCAGGTTGTGGCGCTGCTGGGCGTGATTGTGGCAGCGAAGCTGGAGCCCAACATCATCACCTACGGCACTGTGAAGAGCGCGTGCGTGAAGAGCAGGCGTCAGCAGTGGCAGCAGGATGTGGCGCTGCTGGTCGAGGCCCCGGTCGTGAAGCTGAAGCCCATGTGCACGTTCATCAAATCTGGCACGGTGAACAGCGCGTGCGAGAAGAGCAGGCGTTGGCAGTGGCAGCAGGCAGCACCGCTGCTCGGCGAGATTTTGGCCGCGAAGCTGGAGCCCACCATTTTCGCCAAAGGGACTGTGAAGAGCGCGCGCGAGAAGAGCAGGCGGCAGCAGGGGCAGCAGGATGTGGCGCTGCTGGACGAGATTGTGGCCGTGAAGCTGGAGCCCAACATCATCGCGTACGTCGCTGTGAACAGCGCGTGCGAGAAGAGCAGTCGTCGGCAGTGGTTGCAGACCGTGGCGCTGCTGAGCGAGATGGCGGTCTTGCAGCTGAAGCCCAACATCATTACCTACCACATCCGGAACAGCTGGTGCGAGAAGGGCGGGCGCTGGCAGCGACATCTTGCAATGGCGCTGCTGAGCGAGAGGGTGGCCGTGCAGCTGGAGCCCAACATCAACGCCTACAGCGCCCTGGACAGCGCGTGCGAGAAGAACGGGCGTCGGCAGCGACAGCAAACAAAGGCGCTGCTGAGCGAGATGGTGGGCGGGCAGCTGGAGCCCAGCATCGTCCCCTGCAGCGCCCTGATCAGCGAGTGCGAGAAGAGCAGGCGTTGGCAGTGCCAGCGCGCAATGGCGCTGCTGAGCGAGATGGTGGCAGCGAAGCTGCAGCCCAACATCCTCACTTAGGGTGCCCTGACCAGCGCGCGCGAGAAGAGCAGGCGTTCGCTGCGGCCGCTGTCCTCGAGGACCAGTCCGCGGACAGCACGGCTGCCGTGGGCGACCTCTCCTTCGCGGTGTTGACGTCCAGCGACCCCGCGGCGGACATTGCACACGGCTGCCTTGCCAGGTTGGCGATCCTCGGCGCGCTCCTCCAGGACTGCCGGGTTGGCCCCGCCCAGGCGATGGGGCGCTGTACACTGGATCCCCGCTGCGCGCCTTCAAGTTCGAGAGCGAGCTGGGCGTTCAGGACCCTTCGGGCCTTTGGGGCCCTGCTGGCTGCGCAGCGGGCGGCAGCGCGGAGAATCTCGCTCGCCAGGGGCAGGCAGAGCTGAAGAACGGCCGCGTAAGCACGCTGGCGACCATGGGCTACTTCATGCTGACATCGCTGGCAAGCTGCCCAAGTCGCCTTCGGGCGACCTTGAGTTCGCGGACGCCCCGCGCGGGCTCGTTGCGCCCCCGAAGGCTCCTGCTGCTGCCTGGGCACAGATCGCGGGGCCTGGCGCCGACGCGAGAGATCTCGTTACTCACGGCGACATCTCGGAACATAGCAGCAGCAGCAGCAGCGAGATGCCACCCCCCGCTTCGGTGAACGTTCCAGTGGGGAATCGAGAGGCGGTTGCTTGCAGTGACCAGTGCACAGCTCACACTAACAACCCCCCCACTTCAGCAGCACCAGCAGGGCAGAGGAACAGAGCGGGGAGTCGCGGCGGAGGAGGCGGAGGCTGCGGAAGCCGCGGGGCACCCCCCTCAGAGCAATCAGTCCGTCAGCAGTCCTCTGGGGGCGCCGGGCGCCCGGCATGGAGACCACGGAGCAACCATCCAGACGCAGGACAGCGAAGCCATCCGCTGGCTCGTCGGGAGAAGCCTCTTCGCGCCTATTCGCCCCCCTTCCCCTGTCAGTGAGCTCCTCACGGACGACGAATCCCAGACGCCCTCGCCGGGCGCCCAGGGCACCGCCGGCAAAGCAGCTCGCGCCCCGGCTATGGAGGCCGCGCCGCCGAGCGTGCACGCGCCCGGCACATTTGGCGGTGCCCGGAGAGAGCCCTGCGCTGTCCAAAGGGGGCGCACCTGGGAGCGATGGCGGGCACAAGCCCGAAGGCGAACCCCAGCGAAAGGGGCCCTTCCCCACTTGCCGCGAGGCCGCGTCTGACCTGGCCGCCGGGCGCGATCCGACCCCAGCCCGGCGGCCAACCATGCGGCTTGCATCTCCCCGCGAAACCCTGCCAGGCGCGCAGCTGGAGCTGTTGCGAGCAGATCGCGAGCCCCCCAGCCAGGACAACGAGGCCGGTGCCGTGGAGACTTGCGGCCAGGATACATGGCGGCACCAGAGGCCCGACCCGCGTCAATGGCCACGGCCCAAGGGCCCCGACACGGGACAACAGCTGCACAAAACAGGAATCAACAACATCCAGTGGGAACTCCCCAAGGAGACACCCGGCGAGGCGATGCGACGACTCCAAGTCACACCCGGGCCAGTGTTCACTGGCACCTGGCACGCTTTTGCCAAGCGGCAGTCTGTGCCCGGCAGCAAGGGCGCGCTCGACCCGCTTCGGCGCGACCCGCAAACCTGCCACCTCTTTCTGGAATCTTTCCGCAGCCAAAAGTGCGACGTACGGGTCCTCAGCGACGCGCTGGGCTTCGACGTTCACTGGACTCGGCCGTGGCAGCTGCATCTGGGTCGGAGCGGAGGTGTGAGCAGTGATCACCACGCGGCAAAGGGCCACCCGAACAACCAGGCCCCCAAGAAGTGCAAGAAACAGTGGTGGCCCTGGCGGGGGCGCTGCCCTCCATGCCCGGCCTGCAGAGTCTGGACCTGCACTCCAACAGCATCGGCCACGAGGGCGCGGAGGCCCTGGCGGGGGCGCTGCCCTCCATGCGCGGCCTGCAGAGGCTGGACCTGGACTCCAACGACATCGGCCACGAAGGAGCGCAGGCCCTGGCGGGGGCGCTGCCCTCCATGCCCAGCCTGCAGATGCTGCTCCTGGGCAACGACGGCATCGGCCACGAGGGAGCGCAGGGACTGGCGCGGGCGCTGCCCTCGATGCCCGAGGGCGCCCGTCTGGAGGAGCTGGACCTGACCGAGTGCGACATCGGTCCTGCGGGCGCGCAGGCCCTGGCGAGGCGCTGCCCTCCATGCCCAGCCTGCTGAATCAGCTTTGGGGCTCCAACAGCATCAGCCACGAGGGCGCGGAGGCCCTGGCGGGGGCGCTGCCCTCCATGCCCGGCCTGCAGAGGCTGGACCTGGACTCCAACGGCATCGGCCACGAAGGAGCGCAGGCCCTGGCGGGGGCGCTGCCCTCCATGCCCAGCCTGCAGATGCTGCTCCTGGGCAACGACGGCATCGGCCACGAGGGAGCGCAGGGACTGGCGCGGGCGCTGCCCTCGATGCCCGAGGGCGCCCGTCTGGAGGAGCTGGACCTGACCGAGTGCGACATCGGTCCTGCGGGCGCGCAGGCCCTGGCGAGGCGCTGCCCTCCATGCCCAGCCTGCTGAATCTGCTTTGGGGCTCCAACAGCATCAGCCACGAGGGCGCTTAGGCCCTGGCGGGGCCGCTGCCCTCCATGCCCGGCCTGCAGAGGCTGGACCTGGATTCCAATAGCATCGGCCACGAGGGAGCGCAGGCCCTGGCGGGGGCGCTACCCTCCATCTGGGGTGCAACCGCATCGGCGACGAGGGCGCGCAGGCCCTGGCGGGGGCGCTGCCCTCCATGCCCGGCCTGCAGAGGCTGGACCTGGACTCCAACAGCATCGGCCACGAGGGAGCGCAGGTTGTTCGGGCCGCCTGGAACGGCCGGAGCGGCATGTGCGTCGGCTGAGCCGGGGCGCCCCCCGGGTTCCAGGGAGAAGAGGGAGGGCACGCGGCGGGGGGGGGCGAGAGGAGGGAGGGGAGATGAAGTGAGGGGGGGGGGGGAAGGGACATCTTGTGTCACGCTCGCGGTACTGATCACCGCCATCACACGGGAACGGTCGGCTCCATTTTCCCCCTCTCCTTCCTCCTTTTTTGTTTTTCGTCGTTGCTGCCGCTGTCCTACCAGGCTTGGGCCGTTGGACTGGCACTCTTCGCCCCTTCCTCTGCCCTCGCCCCGCTGTCTTGGCTCTGATGAGCAGTGAGCGCGTTATGTTTTACCGCCAGGGGTCCAACCTGCAAGGTCTGAGTTGGGTGAGGTTTCGGTTATGCCTTGAGCCAGAAGCATCAGCATCGCTTTCGGCATCGCCGCCCTCGTTATCGCCCCTTCTCTCGCCCTCCCTCGTCCATCCTTCCTTCTGCTTCCCCCTTTCGTTCCCCTCTTGCCTGTCGCTGCCATACTTACCAGGCTTGGGTCAGTGGACTGGCGCCAATCGTGTCTTCCTCTGCCTCCGCTCCGTTGCCTTGGCCTGATGAGCAGTCGGAGTGTTGCGTTTCACCGTTCGGCGACCCACGCGTCCAGGCTGTGGGGCCCCCTCCTGCTCGCACTCCCCCAGGCCGTATTATCCTCTCTCTTGGGATCTACAGCCCGAGGCTTGCCTGAAATGTCGCTTCACAGCGTCTGACCTTGAGTTCTGAACGTCCTCTCTGCGGATGGATGGCAGTGCCAGTGACTTCCCCCGAGCGGTCAGCACCGCCTGGGCGGTCCTTCAGCCCGAGTGTTCCCCACTTGCAGGGCGGATAAGCAAACCGCCAATTCACGACCACCCATATCCAAACGTCTGATCTCCTGTGCATGCTGCATGCGCCTACTCTATCGTGCTTGCCGCGTAAGTTGGCACCCTATGAAAGCGAGGGTTTCTCGCCTTGTCTTGCTCTCCTCCTCCTCCTCCTTCACTCACCCCTCCTCCCCCGTCCTCCTTCCCCTCCACCTCGACCCTCGATGCGCTCGATCCTCCCTCCGCGCATCTCCACGCCCTTTCGTTCCATCCCCCCCTCTCCTTACCCCTTTTCTTCTCTCCTCGTCTTTGCTGACGCTGTCCTGCCAGGCTTGGGTCGTGGACCGGCGGCCTTCGTCCCTTCCTCCGCTTGCGCCCCGTTTCTCTCGATGAGCAGTCGGTATATTATGTTACGCCGCCAGGCGTCTCATCTTCGAGTAGAGAATCGACTACAATTGATTTATCCCGAAATTGATTCGTCAGTCGTGTGCACGAAAAATGCGACGATTGTTCCGTAGATGTACAAGCAATCTACGCATTCTAAGTAGATTCGACGAGAAAATTAATTTTGGGGCGAATCAATTATATAGTCGATCCCCTACTCGAAATCTGCTAAATCTGAGTTGGTTACGGCTTCGATCACGCCCAGAGCCAGAACAAAAACCAAAACACAAGCAACAAACAATGACCCGGTGACGTACCCAACCCTTTTCTAACACGGGGCAGCTATCTTAGGACCGCTCAATACAAACGAACCTGATGGAAAACGCGCACTTTGCAGCCCCACAGGGAGCCGCAAGTTCTAGGCTTGGTCCGCGTGGTCCTCCACTCTGCTGGACCTTCCAGGAGCCTACGAAATGGGCGACAGTTGCGCGGTTCGCAGCCCAGGGCCCGCGAGGTCCAGGCTGGGTCCGCGTGGACTTCCACTCCGCTAGACCTCCCAGGAACCCACGAAAGTGGCAACAGTTGCGCGGTTCACAACCCCACAGAAACCGCGAGGTCTCGGCAGATCAGCGTGGACCTCCACTTCGCTGGACCTCCCAGGAGCCCACGAAAATGGCGACAGTTAGCCGCGTGGAGAGGACGACTAAACAGGAAAGCGAGGGGGGCGGGGAGTGGTCGAAGGAGAGGCGGGGAGCAGGGAGGGGGGAGACGGGAGGTAGGAAGGAGGAGGAGGAGTTGGGGCCCACACTGCTCTATTCAAAACGAGAACCCAATCAAGGGAAGGATGGGAATCACTCCCCAAGGGCACCCAGCTCCCAAGATGTCCCAAGTAGCGTCCGAAGAGGGTTGTAACAGGGTCGCAAGCCGGCTCAGGGCAACCGCAAGATAGCCGCCATTGGAGCCCAACAAGTGCCAGGATGCCCCCAGGACGGCCCAAGAGCGCCCAGAGGTGTTCCAAGAAGGCTCGAACACGGCAAAGGAAGGGCCAAGAGGGCCTCAGGTGGCCCCAAGAGGAGGCAAGATTGTCCCAAGAGGACTCCACAACGGCCAGCATCCGCTGGCCCGATTGCTCGTGACCGACTAGAACCTAAGCGTCCGGGGGCCTGGCGCCAGGGCCAGGGCCCTCTCCCGGAGTCCCCCCCTCCTCTTGGCCTGCGACATTTTCAGCCCGTCCAGGACCTCCCGGGCCTCCCCCCCACCGTTCAAAATTGCGCCGGAGGCCACCAGCGAAACGACCAGAGCGGACTGATAGGACCGAAGGCGCCCGAATGTTTTAAGACGGCTCAAGAGGTTCCGAAGGCGTCCTAAGAAGGCTCCAAGATTTGCCCCGAGAGGGCCCCGGGAGGCTAAACTTGTTACGGGAAACGTGAACAGCGTCCAAAACGGCCCAAGAGGCCTCGTAGATCACCCCGAGACGGCCCAAGATGCTCCCAAGAGGGCCCCAGGACGACCCAAGACAGCCCGAAGACAAGGGGCGCCCAAGACGGCACGGCCCAAGAGGGATCCAAGAGGGGGAACTCAAACCGACATTTCGAGCCCTCCGCTCCCAGTGGCCATGGGGTTGCCAGCAGACCCCCAAGAGGCCCCCAAGGGCTCAAACAGAGGCTCCTAGAGGCGCCACCAACTGCCCCCACGAGGCCCTGAGAGGCTTCAAAAGTCGCTCCACGAGGTGCCCGAGAAACATGTCAACGGACCCCGAATTACAGGTATCCCAGAATCTTCTGATCCAGCACTCAGGCACAGTAGCGATATGGGCCGAAGGCTATAGATACGCCAGCAATTGGCTCGTCGACTGATCCATCCCTATGCAGGAATGTGTAGCGCAGGGCGTGGTCTCTCTTCCTACACTACGCGCCTCGGGGCACTGCGGAAAGGAGGCTGCTGCGGAGCACGCGTGCACGGCTGCGCTGAACTCCTTGTGGGGCACGGGCCGCGTGAAGCGTGTGCCGAGTAATTCTGACGCCCCGCACGAACACGCCCACTGAAGCCGCAGGTGGGCCTCCTCCGGGCACGACCCATACGAGGCATGTTCCGAACTGGGCGGGGGGACGCCACGCGAAGCTGCCCATTGGTGCCATAGGTGTAGCTCCTTCTGGAGCTTGATTCGCATGACGGGTGTGCCGGCGTCGGGGGGGGCGTTGTACGAAATTTGCTTTTAGGTGGTGCGATCCGCGTGGTGGGGTGTGCCGCAATGGGCGGGGGGGCGCAATGCGAACCTTGCCTCTTGGGTCATAGGTGGAGATCTCTGTGGGCCACGACCCAGTGCGAGAGATGTGTCGAAGTAGGCGGGGGGGCGGCATGCGAACCTGGCCTCCGTGACCGTCCGTGGAACTCCTTGCAGGCCACGATGGGTGTGAAAGGTGCGCCGAAGTGAGCCAGGCGACGCTATAAAGCTTCCCTCCGGTGCCACAAATGCAGCTACTTGCTGGGCGCGAGCCGCGTGAGGGGCGTGCCGCTATGCGAACCTTGTTTCTGGGGACGTAGGTGGAGATCCCTGTGGGGTGTGTGGTTCTCTCGCTCTCTCTCTCCCTCTCTGTCTCACTCTTTCTCTGTTTCTATGTCTTTCTCTCGTTATATATATATATATATATGTATACATGTATGTTTCATCTGTATACACATATATATGCTGCCCCCCCCCAGCACCACCAAACGGCGGAGTGAGGGGGAGGAGGGGTGGTTTCCCCCTCTGCGTCCTTCTCTTCTTCCTCCTGCTCCTCTTCATCCTCATGGTTCCTCCCCCACCTCAAGGGGGAGCATTCTCCTCATCGTCATTATCTTCCTTGCAAACAAAACCGCAAATTGAAGCAGAACCCGAACCACAACCAGAACCAACGCCAGAACAACCGAAACCAGAACCAGAACCAGAACTAAAAGAACCAAAATCAGAACCAGAAGCAGAACCGTAACCAATGATCGTTTGCTCCTCCTCCTCCCTCTCGTCCCTCTTTGCGACTTCAGGAACAAACCAAACGTATCCAATGTTTCCTTGAACCGAGAGCGCCAACCACTGTGTATGTTTTTTTTTTTGTTTTTTGTTGGGTCAGAGGTGAAAGGAAGCACTGTGTATGTTGTGTTTCCTTGCCCCTCAGACCAACACGAACCAACACACACCCATACACAATGTTTCCTTGCTCCGAGATCGCGAACCACTGTGTATGTTTGTTTGATTTTTTCGGGGGGGGGGGTCAGAGGAGCAAGGACACACTGTGTTTATTTGTTGTGTGTTGCTTTGGATTTGAAAGCCCCAATGCCCGCAGAGGCCACTCTCCCAGCAAGCACTGGCGCTGCCAAAACCGAAAAAACACAACCAAACACCAAACATACACAGTGTTTGACGCTCTCGGAGAAAGGAACCATTGTGTATGTTGTTTGTTTGTTCGTTTG